CCCCAGAATCACTCACCTCAAGGTAACCTCAAGATAACCCATCAATCAGTTGCAATGTTCCTCATGAGAATACCAGTGTTGGGTCCTGGAGGAGCTTGCAAGGGGCCTCCTTGGGACACAACTGCCAGGCCTTTAAACTGACCAATAACAGCATTGCAGAGGTGCCGGATCCAGTAATACATGCCTGTACACGATGGCTTGGAGGGCGACATCACGGCTTTTTCCCTCGCAGCGGTTGCAGCTGACTCTGAAGGTCACAGCTTATTCCCACTCACCTGGCTAATGTTCCATCTTGCAATGATCTGCAACTTCAAACATAGTGGGCTCTCTGACCCTTGTTGTTATAGCATAAAGGCTTAGTTTGTCATGTTTAATTTCCAATGTGACATGTTGTGGCCTCCATGTTATCACTATGTTCTGAGCCATGTGAGCTTTCTAAGAGAAACCCAATATGCCAGATTTCCATCCCGTGATAAGAGAGATAGGAGTTTGTGCACTGCTTGGTACACCTTGCACTACAATTTGCCACTTAAGTTAGCTCTGGGTAAATCCTTGTCCAAATCCTGTACTGAGTGGGCAGGCTCTGGCTGCTCCTAGGAAGACTTGTAAGGGTCATTAATAAATTCTTCAGCAGCTATTTAATGGTGTTTCCATGTACAACATCAACACAAACTAAAACATGAAACAATGGATTAAAATTGGATAATTTTTATTCAGAAATGACCTGGATAAATATCGTTTTGGGAATGGGATTATTGATTTATGGAATAAATTACGTGGTAATAGGCATCCTTCAGTCTCGGGAGACTATGGAGTTGCACCCTAGTTGTCAATCCTGGTGCAGCGTCTGGTGTGACTGATGAGGCCAATCCGAGAGTGGCAGTCCTTCCCACACCGAGCACAAACGAAGTCCGATTCTGGTCTGTCTTCCTGGTTACCGGCTTTCCTTCTCTGTCTCTTTGCCTCCGATTCCTTGGCAAGTGACTCCTCGAACTTGGAGAGACCTCGTTGAACAGACTGCCTCCAGGCTGAACGGTCTGCAGCCAGTGTCTCCCATATAGCAAGATCGACGTCCATGGCTTTCAGGTCCCTTTTGCATACGTCTTTGTACCGTAGCTGGGGCTTGCCTACTGGATGCTTTCCCTGCCTCAGCTCTCCATACAGGAGATCCTTGGGGATCCTGCCGTCGCCCATTCGCACAACGTGCCCGAGCCAGCGCATTCGTCTCTGTTTCAGCATTGTGTACATGCTGGTGATTCTTGCTCTCCCCAAGACGTTGTTGTTTGTCACCTTGTCCTGCCAGGTGATGTCCAAGATGTGTCTAAGGCAGCGCATGTGGTAGGCATTCAGCCGTCTTTCCTGACGGGCGCGGAGTGTCCAAGACTCACTGCCATAAAGGAGAGTGCTCAGGACACAGGATCTGTAAACCTGAATCTTAGTATACTCAGTTAGCCTATTGTTGGCCCACACTCTCTTTGTCAGTTTGGACATGGTAGTAGATGCCTTACCGATGCGTTTGTTTAGCTCCGTATCAAGAGAGAGGGAGTCAGAGATTGTGGAGCCCAGGTACACGAAGTCGTGAATAACTTCCAGTTTGGAATCAGAGATGCTGATGTCAGGTGGGGAGTCCACTCCTTGTCCCATGACTTGTGTTTTCTTCAGACTGATGGCGAGTCCGAAAGCCTGAGAGGCCTCACTGAAGCGGGTTATGAGCCGTTGGAGGTCTTCAGCTGAGTGGGCAGTGACTGCTGCGTCGTCGGCAAAGAGGAAGTCGCGCAGACACCTCAGCCGAACCTTTGTCTTGGCTCTCAGCCTGGCGAGGTTAAAGAGCTTTCCATCCGACCTGATCCGGAGGTAAATGCCTTCCGTGACAGATCCGAAGGTGTGCCGCAGCATAACTGCGAAGAAAATCCCGAATAGGGTTGGAGCCAGTACGCAGCCCTGCTTTACTCCACTTCGGATGTCAAAGGCGTCTGATGTTAGGCCATCAAAGACCACGGTGCCCCTCATGTTCTCATGGAAAGATCTGATGATGCTGAGGAGCCTGGGTGGGCATCCGATCTTGGGGAGGATCTTGAACAGGCCATCCCTGCTGACGAGGTCGAAGGCCTTCGTCAGATCTATGAAGGCTACAAAGAGTGGCTGCTTCTGTTCCCTGCATTTCTCCTGCAGTTGTCTGAGGGAAAAAACCATGTCGATGGTGGACCTGCCAGCTCTGAATCCACATTGTGATTCTGGATAGACTCTCTCTGCAAGTACTTGGAGCCTCTTCAATGCGACTCGAGCAAACAGCTTTCCGACAATACTGAGGAGGGAGATTCCACGGTAGTTGTTGCAGTCGCCCCTGTCACCTTTATTCTTATACAGTGTGACGATGTTGGCATCCCTCATGTCCTGTGGCACCTCTCCTTCTTCCCAGCAGAGGCAGAGAATTTCGTGCAGCTCCATGAGCAGGCTACCTCTGCAGCACTTCAAGGTCTCAGCAGGAATGCCATCTTTGCCAGGAGCTTTACCAGAAGCAAGGGAGTCCAGGGCATCGCTGAGTTCTTCCAGGGTCGGTTCACTGTGGAGCTCCATTAACACAGGCAGACACTCAATGGCGCTCAGGGCATCTTCGGTGACCACATTGTCCCTGGCGTATAGCTCAGAGTAGTGCTCGACCCAGCGCTTCAGCTGCAGTGTCTGGTCCTGAATCACCTCGCCAGTGGCAGATTTCAGAGGAGCGGTCTTCCTCTGGATTGGGCCGAGGGCCTGCTTGATGCCGTCATACATTCCCCTTACATTGCCTGTATCCGCTGCAGTCTGTATCTGGGAGCAGAGCTGGAGCCAATAGTTGTTGGCACATCGCCTGGCGCTCTGCTGCACTTTGCAGCGGACGGCCCGAAGGATCTGTAAGTTGCGCTGACTTGGGCAGGCTTTGTAGGCTGCCAAGGCGTTTCTCTTCTCTTCGATTACAGGTGTCATCTCTTCCGAGTGAGCCTCGAACCAGTCTGCCGACCTGCTGGTCTTCTTGCCAAAGGTGGAAATGGCAGCGTTGAACACAGTGTCTCTGAGGTGCTCCCATCTTTTACAGGCAGTGACCCCAGAAGGGCCAGGGAGAGCTTCCTCGAGCACGTGTGCAAAATCTTCCACCTTGTCCTGGTTGCGGGTCTTGGTGGTGTCGATGCGAGGTCTGCCTGCCTTTTTCGAGTGATGAATCTTCTTTGGTTGCATCTTGACCCTGCTACATACCAGGGAGTGGTCGGTGTCACAGACAGCACTCTGGTAGCTACGCGTAATCTTGACGCTGGGTAGACTTGCACGCCTGGTAAGAATCAGGTCAAGCTGGTGCCAGTGCTTGGATCTGGGGTGTCTCCAAGATACTCGGTGTTGAGGCTTTGTGCCGAAGAACGTGTTGGTGACACAAAGACCATGAAGGCAGCAGAGTTCTAGCAGACGTTGCCCGTTCTCATTCATCCTTCCTATGCCGAATTGACCCAGGCAAGTGGGCCAAATGTTGTGCTCGGCACCCACTCTGGCGTTGAAGTCGCCGAGGATGAACAGTGGCTCCTTTACAGGGATTCTCGCTATGACTCTGTTGAGGTCATCGTAGAATTTTTCCTTTGCCTCTGCTGGAGAAGTCAGGGTTGGTGCATATGCACTAATTACATTGACTGGTCCTGTTTGGGAGTACAGTTGCAGAGACAGAATTCGTTCGGTTTCCCCCATCGGTGGCATAATGTGTCCCAACAGTGCATTCCTGACGGCAAATCCCACACCATGTTCTCTGGTCTCATCTGGAGGTTTTCCTTGCCAGAAGAAAGAGAAGGTCCTCTCTCTCACAGATCCTGATCCTGGGAGCCTGGTCTCTTGGAGAGCAACAATATCCATCTGCAGCTTGCTCAGCTCCCTATCGATGATTGCTGTTTTTCGGGCGTCATTGATTTCTTGCAGGTCGTCAGAGAAACCTGGTGTCAGTGTCCTGACGTTCCATGTGCCCAGCTTTAGGGCAGTTGATATTTTCTTCTTTGGTTTGGTATTGCTTGGTGCAAAGTTGTCGGGCCGCTTGTCAGTTTTCACCCTAAACCCCACGCACCCAGTGAGGTTAACGGACCGTGGCGAGGCAACACCTTATTGGCTGGGGTTTGCCCAGCTTGAGGCGGGCGGTAGCTGCCCAGTGGGGCGCGATGACCCCTCCCACCGTCGGAAGCAACCCCTGGCGTCACACTCTTCGCCAATCGAGCAGAAGACTTAAAACCGGTAGACTGTCGCTGCCCGTGTTGGTTCGACGCTGTGAGGCGAAGCTGGAGTGTCCTCTCCAGGGCGCAAAGCCTGGGTAGGTAGATATGGAGGAGAAGCTGTTACCCATGCAGCAGGTCCCCCCTCTCCACGTTGCTGAAATTATCCAATAGAGAGGCAAATGCCAATACGCATGGTTCCAGCAACGTCGCAGGAGCTGCCAGAACGAGGTCGATGTCAACAACGAACTGCCTTAGGGGCTCCAACTCCGGATTTTTCCTCGAGGTTGACTCCTGAAGCCTTCCCAAAAACAAGGGTATGGCCGCAAGGCAGCGGAGGTTTAAAATCAGGGTTTTCCTTCCCCTAGATGGGCTGCCTTCCCAGGCTATCGAGTCCCATCTACGTGGTACAGTAGCATAATAAACATGGGAATGCTGAATTGTTTGAAGCAAAGGTTAGAAACCCTGCTCCTGCTCCAAAGATTTAGGCATTGATCATCGTGATCATGATTTTTACCCAAAATCATCCATGCACAATGTTGCTTTTCATATCAGCACATAATTTTGTCTTTTATAGTCAGCCATTTAAACCCTTTATAACTAGTCATTAATGTATTTAGTTTATTAGATGAATGTGTAATAGTTTTTATTCTATACCATTATCAATACTGTAATACCATTCAGTCCAAGAATTCTAAATTTTGGAGTTACTGCTTTCTAGGCATTATTGAGTTAAGGATTGTAGTTAAATCGGTATGTAACAAATACATTCTATATTTTCAGGCACAATCATATAAAAGAAAGTTTGGATACTGTACTAAGGCACAAGGCACCTCAGATCATTCAGAATAAATATGCTCCCCAGAATAGTCACCGAGAACCTGTTAGGAGTCGTGTAAAGAAGACAGGACTTTTAAAATGGAATAAAGGACAGCTTGGCCCATATCCAGGATGCTCAGTTGATGTGAGAAGAAATAGATCAGCTGCAAATGAGATATTAATTAATAAACCAGCTTTGATAGGTGGTGGAGAGCCAAATGGGTTAGTGACTGTAGATAAACAATCATTCAAATCAGAAGAGGAAGAGATTGACGAAAGTATCACTTCCCGAGGAACTGTCAAAATCTCAACTACAAGTATGACAGTCATGGCATGTAAACAGCAGTGTGGAGATAATAAAGAACATACAGCAACCTTTGCAGACTTGGAAATAAGGAATCTTTCTAACTTTAAGGTTGGGCATACAGCATTTTATGGTAACAGTTGTGTGAGCTCTAATCAGAGGTGTGAAATAGAAAGTCCCTTTCTAAGTAAATCTGATAAGTCGCTGGAACAGAATGCTGATCCTAGTTTTATAAGCAAATCAAAAGAAATGTCTAAGAATTGTGGATGGTCACAGCAAGGAGGTATTTTGACAGGGTGTACCATTAATGACAATCTTAAGAGTAAGGCTACTGCTATTGATGATAACCAAGCTATACATGATATTTCATTAGGTAATGAAAGTTATCCTGTACACAAACTAAACCATTTCATAGTTAAACAAAACATCACACAGAACCATGTTCTAACAAATGCTAAAGAAAAATCAGTCTCATCATCAATGAATAAGGAAAGATCCTTGCCCATAAAGAATCAGTTAACTAGTGCATCACTTAAGAACTCTTCAGGTGTTCCTCAGGGTGTGCATGGACCTACTTTAGCTTTGTCACTAAATCATTCTGATTTGAGTAATGAAGGTAATAATAATAATTGCTCAAAAAGAATGTATAGTTCTATACAACTGTACAGCAAGTATGAAGCAGCAGAGGAGCTTGATAATTTGACTAATTTTGATTTGTAATTTTTTCCTATACAGAATGTAGTAGTTTGTTACTTGTACAGTGACAGGGTTGCCAGATTGGGCTACAAGTAGCGAATTGGGCTACTTTTGAAAGCTCCGCGCTCCCAAATTTTTAATTTCACTACTTGCGACTTTTTGGGCTACTTTAAAAGCAAGTTGGGCTAGTTTGGGCTAGTAATATTAACAAACTGAATGATGATTATTTATACTGTTATAATGTAATGTGCACAAATCACAGCCGCGTCAAACAGCCTGATTGACTAGACCACTTACCACAGGAGGCCTGGTCAGAGACCGGCCCTCTGGGGAAGTTGATCCTAGGAACCTTTGAAAGAAAAAGTAACCGCAAGGCAATGTAATCCCCCCCAGGGGCCATAGATTTCCCAACCTTAATTGTCGTTAATACTTCATCCCGAAAGTTACATCTGGTTCCACAGATCTTCATTAAGGAGAGAACGTTATCTAGAAATGTACAGATTGATAAATGATTGTAAACATCCTTTACAGTTCATACCTTTGTCAGAAGACGATGGTTGGCAAGGAGCGGTAGTGTAAAGTGGCTGTTAGATCAGTGGGATTCTTTAACAACTCGTTACCAAATCGCTTCTTGCTCTTTGTTGGGACCGAACTGTCGATTACATAGCCCAACACATTTAATTTATTCTTTTCTAGTGTATAATTACTCTGATAACTATAGTTTATAGATAAATCTGGTATTATCCGAATGTAGTCCTCTCCGACTTAGTCAGGGTTTGTCCTCCTCAGCCTGACCTGTTGTCACGTGCGACACACGTACATAACTGAGCCCTGACTAAGGAGAAAATAAAATATAGGTAAAATTTTATCATGGATATTTATCTATATTACCAAAAAACGTGGGTATCTTATATGTCGAGTTATATATACAAATTACTGGACACTGTATATAACTGTACATTAGATGTACAGTTATATATATATTGAGTACAATAACAAAGAGCAGCATTACTCAGTAGTGATAATGGTTCTCTTCCGAACCCTTTTACTTCTCTTGCCTGTATCCACTACGTAATAGCAAGACAGTTCTTGAGACCCTCAGCCAACTACACTGACACGACAGTATATACATACAGCTAACGCAATCGTCTGGTGAACTTTTCTACCTTCTCGTGGCTCAATATTATTATCCTGATGTCGACGGTAGATTTCTAACACCCCCCACGGCGTTGACAGTCACCATCTTCCAAGGGTCGTATTTCAGAAGAGAGTGGATCCTCGTCACAATTTTGCCATACGGCTGGTCACACAACTAGGCCATGTCGACAGGGTGGAAGAGTGTAGAGTACTGCCCTGCCCATGTTCTGACTGGTACTCATTGTCTCGCCCGGTGATTCTGATTGGCCAACAGAATTCCCGCCACCGGACGAGCCACGCCGTGTGGGGCGTTAACAACCTGCATGGTTGTTAAAGTCGTTCCCCTGTAACGTTTAGTAGGAAAGCATTTACTCTTAAGTACTAGTACCACTACTTATACTCTGATGCGACGCAATAACACGATAACAGAAACTTCCTGTAACACTCCTTCCCCCCCTTAAATGAGTGTTATTTCTGAGCATCCAATCAAATTTTCTTCAACGAATGTAGCAGTATTCATTTTGCGTTCATCATACTATGATTAAGCTTGTTCTAGTCATGACACGTCTCATCAGACATACCTTATTTTGTAGAAATGACTTCCCACTGACCATAATTCTACGGCGTACAGAATCTTCTTAGCCTCTCCACTGCTGCACACCATCTGTCCTAAAAACAACTTTTTTTTTTATACTAGTATATACAAAATAATACACAAGTAAGTATCCTGTAAACACCGCCTTTGAAAAGGGGTGGCCGATGCGAAAGGATTTTACTTAGTTTTTCTCTTCCACTGTTTCTCATCACTTCACTATCCTATTTTCTTGTCCAAAACGTCTTATTCACACTTTCTACTGTTTTCTTTATACCATACTACGGGATAATGCGTCAGCCATTACGTTTTCCTTTCCTTTAATATGTACTCTATTTATGTTATAGTCTTGCAATATTAAAGCCCATCTGGTTAGGCGCTGGTTGGCATTCTTCATTCTATTTAGAAATACGAGGGGATTATGATCTGTGAAAACCGTAACAGGTCCTATGCTCGCTCCCACGTATACCTCAAAATACTGTAGCGCCATCACTAAGGCTAAGGTTTCCTTTTCAACGGTACTATACGCTCTTTGATTAGTTAAAAACTTCTTAGAGAAATAGGACACTGGTTTACAAGTTCCATTTTGGTCCCGAGTCAAAATAGCGCCAGCACCTACATCACTTGCATCGACAAAGAGGAAAAATGGCTTCTGAAAATCGGGTGAAATCAATACAGGGGCTTCTGTTAGCAATGATTTTGTTTTATTAAACGATTCTTGAAAGGCTTCGTCCCACTGCCACCTCTTATGCTTCGCTAAAAGTCCTGTTAACGGTGCCACAATGGTTGTAAAATTTCTGCAGAGTTTTCTATAGTACCCCACCATACCTAGGTACCTGAGTAAATCTCTTCTCCCTCTAGGCACAGGGTACTTATCTATGGCTTCAACTTTTTGTCCGACAGGGGCAACCTCCCCTTGCCCTACAATGTATCCAAGATATTGCAATTTTGCTTTGGCAAATTCACTTTTTGGGAGATTAACAGTCAAATTTACCTCTATCAATTTTTCAAACAACTCCATTAATTTATGTAGGTGTTCTTCCCATGAGTGTGAATACACTATAATGTCATAAATATAAACTGTACAACCTACCATTCCTTGTAACATTTTATTCATGGCTCTCTGGAAACAACTTCCACTATTTTTCATACCGAATGGTAGGACTTTATATTGATAAAGACTGTCAGGTGTCACGAATGCAGAGATTCTCTTGGCACTCTCTGAGAGGGGTATCTGATAGTACCCTTTCAGAAGGTCAATTTTAGATATGAACTGGGCATGTCCTATTTAGTCGATACAATCCTTAATTCGAGAAATTGGGTATGAGTCTGCAACAGTGACCAAATTTACCTTTCTGTAATCCGTGCACAACCTGTGTATGCCATCTGGCTTTTTCACCAGTAGACAAGGTGAGCTCCAATCACTGTCGCTCAATTCTGCCAGATCGTTATCCAACAGATATTGTACCTCACATCGCATAATTTCTCTCTTTTTCAGGATTTACTTTGTAAGGATGTTGCTTTATTGGTCGAGCTGCTCCTACATTTACCTTGTGAGTGATTTCGCGATGTCGTCGCGGTACGTCAGAGAATAGTGATATGTATTTCATGAGAATCTCCTCTATGTCCTGCCTCCTTTGATCATCTAAGTATGTCAAGTGTTCATTCATATCTCATAACCACTGAGAATTTGAGATTCGGGCTCCATCTGCTCTTTAGTCTCTTATGGTTTAATTCCATAAACTCGTTGGAAACTGCACACATTACAGCAGTGTCTAGTTGCCCATCCTCATCTCTATCCCAATACCTTTTCATTAAGTTTACGTGACATATCTGGGATTTTCTCGGTCTGTCAGGCATGTGTATTACGTATGTTAAATCACCAAGTCTCTTTTTGACCATATAGGGTCCACAAAATTTTGAATCATTTACCATCTCTCTTACAGGTAGATAGACCAATACCTTATCACCTACATTAAATCTTCGCTTTTTGGTACCTTTGTTGTAATATCTTGCCATGGTTGCTTGGGATATTTTCAAATTTTCCTTCGCCAATTCTCGAGCCCTGAACAATCTGCATTTAAACTTTTGGACATACGTTTCTATATTATCTCTTGAACCTTCAGAAGTTAGCCGGTCCTTCAACATAACTATTGGGCTTCTCACCGTATGCCCATATACTAATTGAAATGATGTCATGCCTAAGGACTCTACTACCAAATCCCTGATAGCAAACATTATTGGGGCGATGGCCTCGTCCCACTGTGCCCCTTGCTTGGCACAATAAATTCGCAAAAGGCTCTTCATAGTGCCATGAAAACGTTCGATGGCCCCTTGAGATTGGGGATGGTAAGGAGATGACCTAACCTGTTTCACATTCCAATCCTTCATTGTCTTTCGGAACAGCCTTAATTGAAAAATACTGCCCAAATCGGATTGCAAAACCATCGGCATTTCTACCCATGAAAAATATTGCTGTAACCTGTCAAGCAATATTCTGGAGGTTATCTTCCGCACGGGAAATGCCTCGGGAAAACAAGTTGCGGAGCACATGATGGTATATATGTATTCGTTCCCTTTTCTTGTTCTGGGTAGGGGACCTATGCAATCTACTATTATCCTTTCAAAAGGTTCCCCAAATGCTGGAATTGGATTTAGTTGGGCTCTAGGAAGCGCTAGAGCAGGTTTTCCCGCTCTCTGACATGATAAACAAGTTTTGCAATACCTTTTTACATCTGCAGCCATACCTGGCCAATAAAAATGCTCTTGTATTTTCCTAAGTGTCTTATGGACACCGAGATGTCCCGCCATTTCTAATGCATGGGCAACTTCTAATACAGAGTTCCTATAACCTTGAGGTACAATCACTTGTTCCTTTTCAACCCAGTCTTTGTCAGCTGGCGCGTGGTCTGATCGCCATTTTCGTATCAAAATACCCGTCGTCCAGGTAATAGTAAGTGGGTGACGTGATACAAGCATTTCCTCCCTCAGCTTCCTCGATATATTTCTCAAATTCTAATTTCTGGGCAGCTATAAAATCTGGTTTGCTTACCTTTATGTGGGATGGTAATTGTTACTTCCACTCTCGTTGTACCTGGTGCTGTATGTTCCTTGAACAAATCTTTTAGGCCAAAATCCACCTCTTCCTCCTCAGAAGATACGTCCATCCTCTCTGGCACATCTCTTAGTCGAGCACTCTGCGCTCGGGTTACGACACAGGCTGGTTATACTTCCATTGATCATCTTCCGAGGGATCATCCAAAATACTGGCGAGCGTTATGTTATCACATTTTTCATCTTCCCAACTGTTTTGATGTCCGTTTGGTATATCACTGCGCAGTACCTCTGGCAACACACTTGAACCACAAATTGTTGCCCAAGATGACGTGTACTCCAGGAATGGGTATGTCCGAGCACACTCCTAACATCACTTCATCTGTAAAGTAATCAGAAGTTAGCTTTACTGTACACACAGGTATATCCATCTC